GTGAGCCGGAGATTGCACTATCGTACTCCAGCCTGGGCAACAAGAGCCAAACCCCGTCTCAAAAAAAAAAAAAAAAAAAAGAAAAGAAAAAAAAAGAATTGTTAGAGTTGATGAAAGAGGGAAAGAGGGCTGGACCCTTATCAAATGCCTCCCCACCCCCCGCCTCCACTCTCCCCACTCGCCCACTTCTCATTGTTCAGTCACTGGATGTGGGCCACCTTGGGAGGGGACTTTGAGTGAACTGGCTGTCTTCAGCAGGGGAAATCCCCTAAGTGGCTGACACTTGAAGGCTATCTGCCATTGCCACCCATTGCCACCCCCTGAAGCTGGTGGGCACTGTGTCTCTCACGGTAAGTAGCTCAGGGTACACACTATGAAGAGGAGCCAAGACTCTAATCTTGGGCACTCTTGATTCTGAAGCCTGATCAATACTAACCATTAATGACCTATTGCTTCTTTTCAAAAATTTATAATGTTGGTGGAGATGAGGGAAATGGAATAGAAATGCAAGATTGGGTAGGGTAGACAAGTTTAGTTCTGCAAATCAATTTTAGGACATGTGCTCCTCTCCACGTTTCTTTCTTTCTTTCTTTCTTTTTTTTTTTTGAGACAGAGTTTCGCCTAGGCTGGAGTGCAATGGCGCGATCTCAGCTCACCACAACCTCTGCCTCTCAGGTTCAAATGATTCTCCTGCCTCAGCCTCCCGAGCAACTGGGATTACAGGAATGCGCCACCATGCCCAGCTAATTTTTTTTTTTTTTTCTTTTTTTAGTAGAGACGAGGTCTCTCCATGTTGGTCAGGCTGGTCTTGAACTCTCGACCTCAGGTGATCCACCCGCCTTGGCCTCCCAAAGTGCTGGGATTACAGGCGTGAGTCACCATGCCCAGCCTCCTCTCCACATTTCAAGGTGTTGAGGGTGGTGTGGTTCATACAACTGACCCTTGGGGAAAAAATAAAGCATCAACTCTTGTCTTCCCTTGGTTCTTGCTATAGTTTCAGTGCCCATCACCACACCTGTGCCCTGCCCTTACACCTTCACCTGAGCCAGTCCCCCAGACGTCAGCATTCTTGACAAGAAATCAACCTGAATAGGCCCCACAAGTCACCTTGCTCAACTGCCATAACAAATGGGAAACTTGAAGCCCCCAGAAGCAGTGATGGGGAGGGGTCCTGCTCTTTCCCAATACCCAAACTTCCCTCATAGCTCACCTCCCATGGCTGTCCTTGTGGAAGTCCAGTGAAAACCCAAAGTGGCTGCCATTGGGGCCTGCATAAAAGGTGAGATGCACTGGGTCCAGGTTCAAGGCCCAGGCTGGAGGGGCAGCAGAAGGTCCCAAGAGCAGCAGCACCCACTCCAGAAGCCAGAGGGCTTGCAGTGGACACAAAGCTGTGGCCATCTTCCTTCTTCCACAACCTCCCAGGCAGGAATGGACCAGCTCCTCCTTCTTCCCTTCAGATTCCTCCACAGGAAGTCTTTTCTTATCAAACTGCAACCCCAAGTAACTTGCTGAGCAATGGGCAGAGCAAAGGGCTATAGCCCCTGGACTCATGGTGGCTAGAATTGTCAGGAAGTGGGTGAGGCCATGCTCATGGCTGGATGCTCATGGCTGAAAGCCATGAGTCCTCCCTTTTCCTAAGAATAGTTTATTACCAAGTCCTATTGGTTCTGCCTATCAACGATGTCTCTTGAATCTTTACCCCATCTCTAATACCACCATGCTAGTCCAAGCCACCATCACTTTCTGCTTGGGATACCGTGATTGTGAACTGGTCCATACCTGTCTGCTCTAGGCTACAGTTCTAATCTCCTCCCTTCCCCCACCTGGCTGTACAGCTGTGGTGCTTTGTGACTTAGCCAGAGGTTGGGGAAGGAGAAGGAAGCTGCTGCCCTCTGATAAAACCTGAGGCTGCTGTGTCTTTTTGGATACGGCATTTACCCGCTTCCTCCTAGGACCTTGGGCGGCCTCAACCAGCCATACTGGCGCAGCAGCTTCCTCACTTGTCTGTCTTGAGCCAAGTTTTAGTGTGGCCACAGCAGTGCAGTCAGTGCTGGGGACAGGGTGGTGAACGGACCTTGGTCTAGGTGGCAAGGATATTGGGGATAAAGTGGAGTTATTCCAGGGAATTTTGACTCACAGGTTCTGAGATTATGCATTAGCTGTTCAGTTGAAGGTAGGCCCTCAATCCTTTTTGGGTGATGGAGCGCTTGTCTAACCATTAAGACTTGATTCTGGTTGGGGTCTTTGCCTAGGGGAGCCTTCCCTGACTCCTCAGGCTGGCCGCATGGGCTAACACACATAGGCACAGTATTGAGCACACTGTTTACTCATGGTCTGTTCACAGGATTATGTAAATGAGTCCCTTGGGAGCAAGGCTCCTTGCTACAGCCCTAGAGACTACCCAAGAGTCCAACATGTAGTACGTGTATTGCCGAACGACTGGACGGAAACACACACTAAGGATGGAAGATGCAAATATAGGGTGACAAAGTGAAGGGATGAGTTTTGAGCAGAAAGGCAAAGTCATTTTCTCTGGGTAAGCGGAAGAGGAGGAGTGCCAAGTCTTACTGGCACTCATGCCTTCCCAAAAAAGCAGGTTCTCAGGAAGGAGATTCAAGAGGTCTGCTAGGGGTAACCATAGCCACATTTTCCTTTTGATTTCTATTTTCCGACCAAACTTAACCATTGCTGTATCCTGCTCAACCACCCTGTGCCATTTTGAAGTCCCCTCATAATTTACTACCTCAGCATAGAGCTAAGAATCTTATCCTTTATAGGACAGGAAGCTAAAAGCCTAGACTTTGGTCTGAGCCTTCTTCATTGCTGAATTCCCAGTGTCAAGTACATGGGAGGCATGTGATTAATGTATTTGCTAGAATGAATACTTAACCCAGTCTTCTACTTACCTTCTATTCTCCTACTGTCCTCAGGTGAGTGAGTGCTGTATTACTGGTGTATTCTGTGAGGCCAAATATTAAGTCACATTTCACTCAAGTTTTCAATAAGTATTTACTCTGTTCAAAGCACTGTGTTGATAAAGGATACAAAGATAACCATCAGGCCAGATACAGTGGCTCACGCCTGTAATCCCAGCACTTTGGGAGGCTGAGGAAGGAGGATGGCTTGAGCTCAGGTATTTGAGACTAGCCTAGGCAATACAGTGAGACCTCGTCTCTATTTTAAAACTATAAAAAATAAAATATTTTAAAAACTCCAAAGATAGCCATCAGGGAGCCTTAACAAACAGCCCAGAAAGAGTTAAGACATGAACACACATAACCGCAGCAGAGACAGTAAAGCATACCTTGAAAAATATACAGATTATCAAAGTCATCTATCATTGTTCCTCATAACAACCCTAGGAAATAAGTACTATTAATGCCCATTTTATAAACACAAAACTGCGGCACAAGAGTTTTAGGTGAATTGCCCACATTTACACAGCCAACGAATGGCAAAACTAAGATTCAAACATGGGTTGCACTTGAACTCATGTTCAAGTTGCCTTTTGTTAGAGAATGAAAGGGTTTTTAGGCATAGAGAATACATGAGAGCAGCAAAGGAACACAGTGGTGGCGAAGCACAAGTAGTTGACTCAGCATAGCAGAGTGCTTAAAGGGGTGGACTGAGGCGCAAGGTGGGAAAGGAAAGCTTGGGGGTTCTAATTACTGAAGGTCCTTGAATACTGTATTAAGGAATCTGAACTTTAATCCATGGGAGATGGAAAATCATAAAGATTTTAGCCAGGCACGGTGGCTCACGCCTGTAATCCCAGCACTCTGGGAGGCCGAGTGGGTGGATCAGGAGTTCGAGACCAGCCTGGCCAATATAGTGAAACCCCGTCTCTACTAAAAATACAAAAATTAGCTGGGCGTGGTGGTGCATGCCTGTAATCCCAGCTACTTGGGAGGCTGAGGCAAGAGAATTGCTTGAGCCTGTGAGGCAGAGGTGGCAGTGAGTCGAGATCATGCCACTGCACTCCAGCCTGGGCGACAGAGTGAGACTTTGTCAAAAAAAAAAAAAGAGAGGAAAAGAAAATTATAAAGATTTTTAGGCCAGGTGTGGTGGCTCACTGTAATCCCAGCACTTTGGGAGGCCAAAGTGAGGATTGCTTGAAGCCAGGTGTTTGGGACCAGCCTGGGCAACATAGTGAGACCCTGTGTCTACAGAAAAATTAAAATTAGCCAGGCATGGTAGTGCACACCTGTAGTTTCAGCTACTGAGGAGGCTGAGGCAGGAGAATCACTCGAGCCCAGGAATTTTAGGTTACAGTGAGCTATGATTTTGCCACTCCACTCCAGCCTGGGCAAGAGAAAGACTATGCCTTAAAAACAATTTATTTATTTTTATTTTTTGCTGGGCATGGTGGCTTACAGCTGTAATCCCAACACTTTGGGAGGCCAAAGTGGGCAGATTGCTTGAGGCCAGGAGTTCGAGACCAGCCTGGCCAACATGGCGAAATCCTGTCTCTACTAAAAATACAAAAATTAGCTGGGCATGGTGGTGCACACCTATATCTCAGCTGCTTGGGAGGCTGAGAAGGAGAATTGCTTGAACCCAGGAGATGGAGGTTGCAGTCAGCCACGATTGCGCCATCGCACTCCAGCCTGGGCAACAAGAGTGAAACTCCATCTCAAAAAAACCACACAAACCACAAACCAAAAAACGCATTTTTGAACTTTTTTTTTGGCTCAATTCTGATGCACAATCCTCAGTTAATGGTGTTGTACTTGGCTCATATTCTTTTTATTTTTGAGACAGGGTCTCGCTCTGTCACCCAGGCTGCAGTGCAGTGACCTGATCATGGCTCACTACAGACTTGACCCCTGGGCTCAAGCAATCCTCCCACATCAGCCTCATGAATAGCTGAGACCACAGGCTTGTGCCACCACGCCCAGGTAATTTTTAGTTTTTTTTTGTAGAGATGGGGTCTTGCTATGTTACCCAGGTTGACCTCGAATTCCTGAGCTCAAGAGATCCTCCCGCCTTGGCCTCCCAAAGTGCTGAGATTATAGGCATGAGCCATTGCACCTGGCCACTTTGCTCATATTCTTGAACATATAATCAAAATGTTTACCATGTATTAAGCGCGAGATACACTGAGTGCTGCGGGGGGTATATAAGAATCACTCCCTGTTCTCTCAAGAGATCACAGTTTTACTGGGAAGCAGTGAATACAGAATGAGTTGCATTCAGATTCTGAAAAGCCAGTAAGTTTACACAGAACAGGGAATTAGGTTCTAGTCAGGAAGGCCACTGAGGAAAATGCTGCAATAATTGAGATATGAGTTGGTAGAAGTGAGTGAAGCTGTCTTTGGCAAGTAAGAATGGAAATGGCTGACGAGGCCTGAATTAGTCATCAAGGGTGAAGAGGGAGTACTTTCATGTTTCAGGCCAAGGTGGTCATTTCTTTCTGGGTAAGGATCTTTGCTATTTTAGGAATATAGGCAGATCTGAGCACTCAAACCCAGGTTCAAGTTGAATAGCTTCTCTTTAATCAAAGGGAGAACACAGATGTATCAAAGAGTAGGAAAGAAATGTATCAAAAGAGAGTAGGAAAGAAAGCCTTTTCTTCTTGAAAGGCTGAGGTTGAGAGGGAAAACTAATTTATCACTATAACTCTATGGTAGCTTTCGATGCTAAATTTTCCCTGCCTCTTTTGTGATTTTTTGATATGGAAGAGTAGGGGTTTTATCTTCTCAGTAACAATTAGGCCATATTTCCTTATACCAAGTAGAGGTGCTCAAACATTGTAGTGGTATTAAAGGGCTAGGAGAGTAACTGAAGACTGGCACAAAGAACTCCACCTGGAGGATGAAAGTCTGGCAGATGATTCTTGTCATCTTAGTGCCCTAAAGTAGTCCAAAATCCTAAAATTCAAAGCCAGAAATTCCACACCCATTTAGTAGGCACCTAGATATACACCATATATTCTACTACACACAGATTATATACCTAAAATGGAAGGAAATCTTTCCTCTTGTGGGAAAGAGGAAGTGGAAAGGAGGTATACATTCCAATACATCTACCTACAACTGAGAGAAATTAACTACTATTACCTCCTCCCACACCATCATCTTTCCTCTCTTTGCATAGCCTGAGCTTTCAGAAGCACAACTGCAAACATCTCATACTGGTTCACAGGAATCTATTCCTTGGTCACTTCAAACAAGATGTTATTTATTTTTTTTTATTTTTATTTTTTTTGAGACGGAGTCTCGCTCTGTTGCCCAGGCTGGAGTGCAGTGGACGGATCTCGGCTCACTGCAAGCTCCGCCTCCCGGGTTTACGCCATTCTCCTGCCTCAGCCTCCCAAGTAGCTGGGATGACAGGCGCCCGCCACTTCGCCCGGCTAGTTTTTTGTATTTTTTTTAGTAGAGACGGGGTTTCACAGTGTTAGCCACGATGGTCTCGATCTCCTGACCTCGTGATCCACCCGTCTCGGCCTCCCAAAGTGCTGGGATTACAGGCTTGAGACACCGCGCCCGGCAAACAAGATGTTATTTATAACCCACACCTCCAACCCTACCCAACTTTGAGTGGATGGGGCAAAA